TCTGAGCTCCTAAACCCCAGCCTGTTGCCTAGGCTGCTTCCTCCATGATCCCAGACAGAGACTAACCCACTCTCTTCCAGCCCTGCCCCCAGCCAGGGCGGCATCCACCTTCCTTTGTTTCTCTCCCTGGGGGGTAGCTGGTCAGACAGGTAGAGACCCTCTTTACATAATGACTCACCCCCTGCCCTGCTGGGCCATGCTACAGCCAGCAAGTTACCCCCCACTACGTCACAGGGCCCATCTCTGCTGCCCCAGCGCAGGTAGGGGCAGGGCCCTGCTCCCCAGCCAGCTGGCCTCACTCTGCCTGTCCTGAGAGGGCCCCGGGGGCCGGGGGGAGGCGGCCACCCTGCTTGGACCAGAGGGCACCAGGTGTGATGGGCGCAAGACCCACGGCTCGGGGGGGGGCGCCGCTCCGGCGTGGGCCACGGAGAGCTGCGCCTGCTGCAGCTGCATGTGGCTGGGATACCACGTGGGATACCACCACCGTGCAGGGAGGTGCATTAAACCTGGGGAGAGGCTTCATCCCCATTCTGTGTCCTGCCCACGCCCACAGCTTCCCACACACCCTCCCAGGGCCTGTTTTTCTGGCTGGAGGAGTTTCAAGAGGGAGTGGGGCAAACCAGGGTCCTGCGGAGTCCTATGTCTCACCGGCCGGGCCCCTGCTCCCACCATGACCGGCTGCAGAGCTGCCAGGCACCAGCTCCAGCCAGTCCCCCCACCCACCCGCCTGCCCGGCTCACAAGCCTGGCCCTGCAGACGTCTGTCACCAGCCCCGCCCCTGCCTCCGTGTGCAGCGGGCAGCTGCCAGCGTTCACACGCTAAGTGGAGGTTTCCCCAGCCCGGTACGTAGAACACGCCGTTGTGAGGCAAGTGGAAAGCGGGTTTCATTAGCCACAGCCAGATCTTACGTGGGTACGTGTGGGCGGCATCACAGGCCAGAGATGGAAGCGAATAAATGTCCCATGTCAATTCTGTGAACTAAACAAGATCGGAACCAGGTAATGTGCTGGGGGGAGGACACAGGCCTGCCCCTGCCAGCCCTCGTGCCCTATGAAGCACAGTACCAGCACCCCCATGGCCCTCCTTGGGGAGGGGGCTGCAGGGTCAGATGCTGTGGGAGGCAGGGGGTTGCCAACTCTCCAGGCTTGGACCAAGATTGCACCCTCAGCAAGTTTGCGGACGACACTAAGCTGGGGGGAGAGGTGGATACGCTGGAGGGCAGGGAAGGGCCCAGAGTGACCTCGACAGATTGGGGGATTGGGCCACAAGAAATCTGATGAGGTTCCACAAGGACAAGTGCAGAGTCCTGCCCTTGGGATGGAAGAATCCCAAGTATTGGTACAGGCTGGGGACCAACCAGCTAAGTAGCAGTTCTGCAGAAAAGGACCTGGGGGTTCCAGTGGATGAGAAGCTGGATAGGAGTCAACAGGGGCCCTTGTAGTCGACAGATTGGGGGATTGGGCCACAAGAAATCTGATGAGGTTCCACAAGGACAAGTGCAGAGTCCTGCCCTTGGGATGGAAGAATCCCAAGTATTGGTACAGGCTGGGGACCAACCAGCTAAGTAGCAGTTCTGCAGAAAAGGACCTGGGGGTTCCAGTGGATGAGAAGCTGGATAGGAGTCAACAGGGGCCCTTGTAGCCAAGAAGGCTAATGGCATATTAGGTGCATTAGGAGGAGCATTGCCAGCAGATCCAGAGATGTCATCATTCCCCTTTATTCGGCTTTGGTGAGGCCACATCTGCTGAAGGGGGGTTCCAAAGAGGATGGAGAGAGGCTGTTCACAGTCGTGACAGGTGGCAGAACAAGGAGCAATGGTCTCAGGTTACAGTGGGAGAGATCTAGGTTGGATATTAGGGAAAACCCTTTCCCTAGGCGGGTGGGGAAGCGCTGGGCTGGGTTCCCTGGGGAAGGGTGGAGTCTCCATCCCTAGGGGTGTTTAAGTCCCAACTGGACCAAGCCCTGGCTGGGCTGATTGAGTCGGGGCTCGTCCTGCCTTGGGTGGGGGTTGGACGCGACCCCTCCTGAGGTCTCTGCCCACCCTGGGGTTCTACAGGTCCATGATAAGCACTAACCCCCGCTCCTCCCCCACCCGGTGCATTGGCTGG